TGTGGACGACCCCACACACCCCTCACACACACTCTTTACTCTACTGCCATCAGGGAAGAGGTTCCGAAGCATTCGGGCTCTCACAACCAGACTGTGCAATAGTTTTTTCCCTCAAGCCATCAGGCTTCTCAACACACAACTGAACTGGAACTAAACTCACACACACACACACACACACACACACACACACACACACACATTCAACTTAACTCACTAAGTTAATAAAAACAAGTTGGCCTGTTCTATTGTTTACATTGTACATTCCACCACTGCTACTGCTGCTCTGCTCGGTTCTTTTTGCACATCACTTGGCACTGTCACTTTAATACTTGTAAATTTGCACATTGCACTGTATATAGATATATATACAGTAGGTTACGGGTTGCTGCTATTTTGTGTTCTTGTCCTGTACAGTACTTGTCCTGCACTGTCTCGTGTTGTCTGTTCTGCACTGTTTTGTTTTGCACTGTCTGCAACAGGTTGCACACGATGCACTTTATGTGGCTAGGACAACTTAGTCTAGTCCTCAGCTCTGTGTTCTGTAACTGTATGTCGTGTGAGGTGACAATGTTGTTTTATGTAGCAAGGTTCTGGAGAAACGTTGTCTCATTTCACTGTGTACTGCGTCAGCTATATATAGTTGAAATGACAATAAAAGCCTCTTGACTTGACTTGACTTGATATATTTCTCTTCTGAGAGATGGCTATCACTAAACAGAGTAAAAAATGGACAGCCAAGACTAAAGGCATTTACAAGTGGCCCGAAAATGGCACGCTTGACCCATCATGCATTGCAGAAATGGAAAAGTTTATGAAACAAAAAAACCCCTCAAAACAGGAAATGCTGAGAAGAAGCTAAGAATTTTACAGTTCTGGAAGGATAAAACTAAAGAAAGGAGAGAGGCAGCAGAACAAAGACAAGCTGTGGAAAAAAGGAAATTTGATGACATGAAAAGGAGAGTTGAGGAAAAACAAAAGTCTTCGAAGCCAGATGCCTCTGGCGGCACTTCTGGCGGTGCCTCTACAGAGTATACAGACAGTGAAGCAACAACTGATGACAAAGGGAATGTGGACCTTCACATAAAACTAAGAGAGAAATTAAAGTTTGGATACAAAGAAGAGAAAAAGAGAAAACAATTAATGAGACAACTGAGGAAAGAAGAGAAGAAAATTTGCAGAGAAATGCTGAAAGATGCAAAAGCTCTGGCAGATTAAACTTGTCACAGAGAAACTAGACCATGCACTATTACATGAGATCTTGGAAAGCTCTCATACAGCTATTAAACACAGTTTATGTGCTACTGTAGAAAACCCTCCCCCACAGCCAGAAAGAAATAAAAACCCAGCAGGACAAGAACTCATTCCATGGTCACAAGGAGTAAAGTTCAAGGAGGCTCAGAAAAGGAGGAATGTGAAATGGAGCTGATGGGCACTGGAACTAATGATCCATATGATTATCTCTGTGCAGAGCCCCCCATCTTTTCGGCTCCCCATATTGAACACCATAACAAACCCTAGGTATGTACCATGGAGTTTTGCTAATATGAAAAGAATGGCGAGTGACCTACCAAAACTCGAAGCGGGTGGACAGGGCTGGATAACCAAGTTTGAGGCAGATATAGCAGGGCAGTGCCTGGCTCTAGGAGACATCAAAACCATGCTGATGCACATATCAGGAAAAAATATGACCAAAAAGGTTTTCACAGAAGCTGGCCTGTGAGCACTTATAAATACCAATCACCACGATGAGAAGCCTTTTAATATGCAAAGGAATGTATTGTGGGATGTAATAAGGGAACAATGCCCCATTGAAAGGGACCCATCAAGATTGAAACACTGTAAGTTGGCAGAACATGGAATTAAAGAACACATCCATCATGTCAACAGATACAGACAGAAGAAACATAAAGAGAAAGATAAGGACTCTGAACTGTCGACCTCACTGCTAAAGAAACAGCTAACTGAGATGAACAAGAAAGAAAATAAGAAATCAGCCAACGTGCAAGTTGTCGTGATACCTGCATATAGCAATGCCAGAGGAGATACAGGTCCCAGTAACCCCTGATATGCATGAGGTTACCATCCCTTCCCCCATACATGTCCAGGTCTGTGTACAAGCCCCATATTCAGGAGGCCACAGATGGGGTATAGGCAGAGGTCAAGGGTTTGGTGCCAAGAAGAATCACAGAAACTACTAAAGCATCTTGGGGAGAAGGGTCAAAATTTAGACAAAGCCAAGTTACAATATTTGTAAAGTACTTGGGGAGGCTACTCTTGGGAGCCAGTAGGAAGCTGGCTCCCAACAGAATTGAAGTCATACTACAAATGCCTAAACTAAACAGCTTCTGTCTTTCCTGGGAATGACGGGCTTCTGCAGACAGTGGATCTGTGACTATGCATCCATGACCAAACCATTAATGGACATGTTCAATGAGTCAGACGGCAATCAAGTGGTCTGGACTACCATGGCTGATTACATGTTTGTTGCCCTAAAACAAACACTGTTGACAGCACCAGCACTAGCCAACCCAAACTACACTAAACACTTCTTTCTGTATTTGGCCAAAGAGATGTGACTTTGTGAACACTGTTCTAACTCAAAGCGACCCGGACAACCACCCAGTTGCATAGTTTAGATGTCAGCTTGACTCTGTCAGAAGATGCTTTCCCCCATGTGAAAGATCTTTAGCAGCCACAGCATTTGAAAGGACTAATTATTAACTTCAGTCCCTGTATCACCAGGTGAAGGAAGCCAACCGACCTCACAAAGAACCTGTGAAACCTAAGAACCTGCCCAAGGATGTAAAATCACAAGTGGCAAAAGAAGATGAATGAAAGTTATGTTGCGTTAACTAAGAGACTACTGGCAACGAGTGAGTGATTTTGCATACTGTTGGGACATTCAGACATTTGCAAAATGCACATTTTGTGACAAAGAACAAGATCATTACTAGGAGCAGCACCCCCACCCATATGCACATCAACAAACTGTGAAACAAATTAATCTTTACATGATGGGAAAACCTAATGGACAGATGTAAAGTAAAGCCTAAGAGAAAGAATATCAAAGTATTATAACTCTTTAAACAAATGTAAAAGAAGGTGTTATTTGAATAAGTTCACATACTGACATCACTGTGGCATGCAATAAATACATTTGTGATCTGGGTGACAGTATTTTTCTAACTAGCAAACAAAATAAGATAGGGATCTTGAACTGACAACATTAATGACCACCAAATCAGTACATTTCTTTCCTAAAACCATTCCTATTTGGATGGAGGAGAGAGCAGAATTATTGCTGTATTATTTATTCAGGGAGACAAAAGCTATTAAAAGGGATCCCCTGGTTCAACTGGCCAAACAAAATCCTGGGTTTCAAACTGTTGCAATAAAAAAGTCTCCTGGAGATTGTAATTCACCCGAACTAACATCAGGTATGGGAAAACCAGAAATGGAATTTGCCTAATCAGAGGGAATCCATAATTGGTTCCACTGAAACAAATGTATTATTTAACATTGATACCTTTCCCACGAAGATTACAAAAATATATGTTTCTGTCTAATTATGAAGTAAGTAGTTAAGCTTTAGTGAAAGATAATAATTAGTCATATGATCCATATTTTATTAAGTAATGATATATTCATCTAAGTGTTGTAGTCCTCTGCTGAACCCAGGTGGTGAATACACTATAGTGCACAAAGCAGGTATGGCAGGAATTTTCCCCCACTTCAACTGGAAATATGAAGGGGGTTTTTCTCCTGTCTCTAGGGAATGAGGAGACATGAAGTTTTAAACAGTGTTATTTAATCTTATGACTATGGATCATGTTGCTACGAATCATTCCTTTATTAGCATTCTGATTATTACTGATTAGGGAAATTATTGTGATCAATAATTGTGGAATTGTGGAAAATAATCAGAAAATACATTATACAGTTTTATATTCCCTATTTTATATTGCTTATAATCCATTTTATAATGTCGGGCTTTGTGTAACAAGAAAAGGAAGGCTGAACTGTAGCCTACGTTCAAAAGGCAACTTGATATGAGAAAAACAAGTTCATTGTTATCAAATGGCCTTAATTCCTAGGAGTGTGCAAATCACTATCAAAAGAAGAGCGGAACAAACACTTTTCCAT